TTCTGGTCGTAGCTATCATAAAAAAGTCTTGACCATGCTCAACCACGTGTACAAGAGAAGAAAAAGAAGAAGAAGAAGAAAAAAGTTGTTACAGTTATAACGTTAGTTAGAACGCAATCCAAACGCACCACGTGCTGCACCATCCACCCAATCGTAAATCGGCTAAACTTTTTATTTTCGTTGAAAAAGTTTTCTTATTGGGGGAAACATGCGAAATTCACTTTGTGACGTATCTCAATGTGCGTGTATACTTCATCCCTTCTCTCTCTCTCTCTCTCTCTCACTCTCTCTCCCTCTCTCCATTTCAGCCCTTGACAAGAACGTAGCCCGTTCCAGCTCATTCAAACCCACCACCACCTCTCGTCTTTCTCTCTAAGGAGAAACTGTCGCGATGCAAGTTTCGCGAGGAGGAAAGTTTAGTTCTGACCTGTTTCATGAAACTATGGATATATCCGTAGTTAGGAACCCCTACAGACGTTGGTATGTGCACGGCAAGACAATGTATCACCATTTTCCATTCTCCTTTATCTTCCCCTCTCCCTCTCTTTCACGGTTATAGGGCTCCGGGATAGGCAGTAATTCGGTTTCGGTACTACCAAACAAGAGAGAGAGAGAGAGAGAGAGAGAGAGAGAGAGAGAGAGAGAGAGAGGGAAGGGGGGGGAGGCAAACCTATATTCCAAGGAAAGTAGTAGGAGGAGGGAAGAAGGAAGGAAGGAACAGTATGCGTCTACACAGCAAAGAGTTCACAACGTTCATAAATTTCCTTTGACGCGAAAAGATCGACTATGCGTGACGTCGATCGATCTTCAATCTATTTCCCATCCTAAATTTCCTTTCTCATTCATTTTATTATTATCATTATCATCGTCATCTTATAAATGGAAAATGTTGGTAAAGATTCTTTGAATATTTGTCTTTATATAATTATACACTTATTATTTTAGAAATAATATGATTATATTATCTACTGCGTTACAAATTTGCTTCTTCTTATTTTAACAAAATTGGATCTAATAATTATTTATTTTTTGTTTTGTTTTTTTTCTGTTATATAAATTCGAATGGTCGGATGGTACATGTCGTATGCGACGAGATCCTACCCCCATCTCAAGTATCATCTGCACAGTCTTTCAAATCACAGAACATGATGCAAATTTCATGGCCAAAATATCTAAAAAAAAGTTTTATTCAATAATTTAATAACATTTATTTTCGAAATTAACGGACGGTGCAATTTCATATAATTGAATCCACTCCAAAGTATTATTTGCAAACATTTCAAAACTACCAAAATATACCACTTTAAAAACGGTCACGGCCCCCAAAAAAAACTTGCTTTAAATAATTTCATTAAATTTTGAGTATTTTTAATCTTACCATTTGATCTTCTCTAATTATAGATTTAATTTTGTTGTTGATTGGTTTGATAAATTAGATTAAAGAAGTTATTAAAAAAAATATATAAAATTTGTGGAAGAGATGTGGTACGGTGCAATGTAATGTGCGATGATCTAGAAAAAGTGCAATGAACGAAGAACAAGGTATATACTTTGAGATCGAAATATTGAATATAGGTGGGTTAAGCTTTGTCCGTGTGAAAGAAAGTCGACCGTTTCTTTTCTCTTTCTCTTGCGCTTTTCTTTTCTTATATCTTCCATCCTTTCTTCCTTTAGACATGTCATCGCGATGCTATTCACGCGCGTGCACTTCGCGACGGACAAAATATTTCGACGGAGAACTTGCTTTATTCTTATTCAATACTATCTCTTACATTTTCTCTCTCACATACGTATACACGTTTTTGTACAGGATCCGATAAAACAGTACGTACCGTTTTCTATCGACGACAAAATGTTTCCCGAAACAGTTTGTGTCGACGGTAACCGACAACTCTTTTACAACCAATCAAACTTGTTAACGACTTTCCTGACATCGTTGATTAATTTTATTTAAAATATACATATATCCCAACAACTATCTTTTACGCTCGAACAAAAACGAATTACATTGACCACAAATTGTGAGGGGCGGGGGTGGGGGTGGGGGCTAAGGATAGAAATAAAACCGCATTGTCTCCATTAAGCGGTCAATCGATAGACCACCAAACTCAATATCTTTGGCGTGAAAGTAAAGAAAAGAAAAGAAAAGGAAAAAAAGAAAAAGGAAAAGGGAAGGAGAGTAGCCTGGAACCAATTTATCTTCTTAGCACGTCCTTTAATCAGATCTAGTCTTCCCTAAATACACTCTTCACCCATTCCAAATGGAGAAGCCAGGGGTCATTGTTGCGATGGTGATTGGTAGTTAGGTTGGAAGAATAGAAAACGAATAGACATAGAACGCAATTACCGATGATATAAAAGGTGATACATATATACACGGTGAGCCATTTAAAAAAAAACCATTTAAAATACTAGAAAATGTGTCGAAGAAAACATACTTGGAAAAGAGGGTTAGTACCATGATTATACGTTAATAATTTTGTCCTTGATTAAACGCATAGGACACAGATAAGACAATATTTTATACATTTAAAAGAGCTAATTTAAATCGATTTAAAAGAATGGCCAATAGTAATAGAGTTATTACTGATGGCCTGTTTAAAATGTGCCTCACCCGGTATATAATATATAGAATAGTTAGGTCTGTGGTTCGTCGTCGTCGTCGTTAACGTGTTCGGTTCGTAGGACAGTGCGAGAGAAGCGGAAGAGGTACATAACAGGAAAAGAGGGAGGTCGATGCGAAGGAGAGAGAATAGATATGAGCTTCCTACGAGGGAGGAAAAGATTTATGATGCTCGTGCGTCAGCCAGCACGTCTCAATTTCGGAATGCCGCGAGTCAGGAGCTCTGCTCTGTTCTGCTCTGCTCTGTTCTGCTCTGCTCCCATGGCTCTCTTGCTCTTTCTCTTTCCTTTCTTTTTTTTCCTTTGTTGTCCTATGGGAGAGATGAGAGGAAGAGGGTAAGGGGAAATAGGTATGGCGATAAGAGGAGCGGCCAAGAAAAAAAAAACTCACTGAGATAGGGGTTGGTAGTAGTGATGGTACAGACGAGAAGAAAGAACACCGAATCCGTCGTACCGAGCAACGTGCGAACCAAGCCGAGCTCTCCGAACTTTCCTATCCCCTTTTTATTCCTCCTTTATTTCTTCTTATATTTTTTCTTTCCTTTTGTAGTTTTAACACATTGCGTTCCTTCCGCACACCTTGGATTACATTGAAGTAAATACTCTACTCGGATACTTCTATTTAATTGATTGTATAGTTATTACTAAGGGGTTGTTGTTTGCTGGTTTTATTATCCAGCAAAGTTGTCAGCTAAAACTCGGCTAAGTTTTTATCGGATAATGTCAAAGGGAACGTTGAGAATCGTGCTTATTTATCCCGTACCTTCGTCAAAAAAATCCTATCCGTTTTTTATTTCACAATCGAGATTTAGAAAATTGGGGAGAGGGGGCGTTTGTTCGGGAATGTTTTTCGTTGGAAAAGTTAGGATCTATCAAAGGACGTTATAAACTCGTCTCTCTTATTTTATGGTTTCTAGTTTTTTTGTTTGTGTTCTTTACTAGCACACTCGGATGAGATTGTATCGAAAAGTGGAAATAAAAGTAAGAAAAATTAAATTTCTCGGTGCGCGGTTACTGCAGGAAAAATAAACGTAACATTGAAGAAGATACATCCTACTATCGAGTCGTAATTCTGTCGACGAGGTTTGAGTTTCACGACGATTTCTTTCTTTCTTACTTACTTACTTGCTTGCTTGCTTGCTTGCTGCTTGCTTGCATTGTTTCTTTTATTTTACTCGAAGGATCCGTCCTAAGTAAACACGCGTTTCTCTTTCCTCTATCTTTCTTCTTTGTTTAAACCTCGACAGGTTCAAAGAGAGAGAGAAAGAGAGAGAGAGAGAGAGAGAGAGAGAGAGAGAGAGAGGAAAAAAGTCGTTGTCTTTTTACCGAAGCCACATTATTTTCCCTCGGCGTACAAATTTTACCGCGATAAGCCCCGAGGATTGCGAAGGAAAGTGGAAGAGAAAGAGGAAGAGAAAAGTCATCGATTATTCACAAGTCGCTGGACAGAATGCTGCAGAAGGATCACGAGGAACCGATAAAACCTAGTCCCGACTATTATATTAACGCCGGAAATTGTGGGAAAGAATCGTCAATTATTCCGTCGGCATAGAAAAGTTTTAAAAGTTTAACGATACCGATGATCTTCTTCTTCTTCTTCTTCTTCTTCTTCGTACAATCTGTTTAACTCCTCATCTTTTTCCCTTTTACCACCCCCCAAAGGATAATTTTAATTGGACTTTGATCGTTTTCTCGATCCTTATTTTTTAATCGTAACTAACACGGAAACTAACGTAATCATTAAATTCCAGTTAAAAGATATATTCCCCCACGTGAAAGGTAAAAAACCGGAAACATTCGTCGAAGAAAATGATTCGCGTTCCACGGGTTAAGACTTTCGCAAGGAAGCAATCGCGAATTCTTTTTACATAACACAAAGAAGAAAGAGAAATATTCGTCTGTACGTGCTTTGCCCTTTCCAAACTGGAAAAATCTTCGATACGATGTTGGATCGATTTCTTCCTTTCCGATAGGTATCGTCGTCAGTCGACAAAAGGAAGTCATTTTTCAAGATCGAAATTCACGCCGTTTCCAGACCTCTTTTGTACAGAAAAATGGAGGATGTTACTACAATTCCGAGACTTTTATCTTCTTATAGAAATATTGTGATATTTCCGTAAAATAAGAGATTCTTTACTTTATATACTTAAACTTTAGATATTTAAAAATGTCTAAGACACATTTTTCTTCGCAAAACGATTGGGAATAAATTGTTCCTGTTCTTTTGCTTTTTTACGATTACCGACAAAATCATTTATAATAATATCCCCACACGCGTTGGGTGTCAGGAGCAAAATGTAATATTTGACAAATATTGGATACGGTCAAAGTGTTTATAATCGTCATCCGTTAGAAGTAAATAAATAATTTAAACGCACCTGGTGGACAATTGCACTCGGCGATGTCTCGTTTGATCCTGAATAGCGCAGCGGAGGCAGAACTCGCGGGGGCGAGCCTGTGTTGCTCGAATTCTTCCCGGAGTTCCCTCCTGAACCTTTGCACGAGGACATCGGGCAATTCTTGGATCCTGCATCTTGCCTCGAGATTAACGATCCTCGATTCCAAGCGCATCTCACGATACGTCAGTATACCTGACACGGCAAGACTCGCCAGACAGAGGGCGCACATCATCCAATTTATACAGGACTCCTTACGGAAGTTCGTCGTCATAGTTGTTGTTGTTGTTGGTAAGATCGGCGTTATAACGCCGTCATTAGCACGATTACGTTCCTTCTTATCCCTGGACGCGTCCGACAAAGTGGACGACCACTCGGTGGCAAGTCCCGTCGACTCCATCTTATCCGCCACCTAAAGATTCTCCACCCGAATTTTGTATACCTCAGGCGCGCCTCATAATCCAACTAAAATTCCGATCTCTTTTTCCTATTTTTCCCCTCCTTCTACGACAAATTCACAGCCGGCATTGTCCGGTTGGAAGCACGCAGCATGCTTTTCTTAAGCTCTTTGCTCGAGATTATTTCCTTTTTGATCTTTTTTCTCTCTCTCTCTCTCTCTCTTTGTTTCTCAGACAAAAATTTGATCGATCGATTCCACTCGCGTCCGATCGAACGTTAAGATCTAACACCGTATCAAACAATCGTTTTTTAACACGTTCAAAGAATCTCGACCATCGAGTATGTATTCTATATACATGTAACGAGATATAAACCGCGAAAATGCAAACTTTTTCTATCGTAATAGAAAAAAAAAAGGGAAAACGTGGCGGCAAAACTTTCGTTTCTATCTAGTGTAAAAAAATGAATGCGGAACGAGGAGAGAAAAAAAATAAAAGATAAGAAAAAGAAGGTTATTTATCTGGGTTCTCTTGTAGATGAAAATAGTTCGAGAAAGAGAGGTGTCTCGCGTTCGGGTTAAAAGCAACGAATAGGAATGGCACGAATACGAAGCTCACGGTATGGCATTCGCAGTACGACTGGATGTGGTGGGGCGAGCGCTCAGCCGAGGGCCGAGGGTTCGCGCGCGTTCGTCTCTCCTCGGGCTTCTTCGTCGTTTCCAGCCACCGACTCATCCGCGCGTGGACTTCCATTCGCACTGATTCGCCCCCCACCTCTACCTTCTCAGACCCCACCACCACCACCACCACCATATCACCATCAGCAGCAGCACCACCATCAGACGACACAAGGATTGCCACAGCAGCCACCGCTGTTCCATTCCCGGGGCTCCTTTTTTCCTTCTTGTCCATGTTTTTTTCTCGCTACCCATTATCCACTCGGATTACACGGCTGTGAGCACGAACAGGATTCCAAGGAACTCTTTCCTCGCGATCTCCAAAACTCAAAAAGGGTACTACGTATATACAACTATACCGGTTGTTGCTAAAGAGAAAAAGTAAAAGAGAGAGAGAGAGAGAGAGAGAGAGAGAGAAGGAGTAAATGGGATGTTCGATAGGCTCGTGTCGAGTGTCGCCAAGTTTTACGTTGACTGTCGACCATCGAAAGTACGACAAATTGAGCGGTCCGTCCAAGCTGACAGCTTAATTTCTAACCGGCATCCTTCGCGACTATCAATTAGTAGATCGCCGCTTGTCGATCGAACTAACTTCTCTTCCGCCTACCTACGAAAGGGGAATTTTAATAGAAGAACTCCAGCGTTAATACACATCCCTACGGGGTGTTCCTAGCGTATGCACCGCGCACACGTTCTATGAAGGACTTCATAATCGACTGACTATGAGAGAAATCGATCGATCGAATTGAAATACTACCTCGGCGGATATATGCATGCGTGCTTTCTCTCTCTCTCTCTCTCTCTGCACTCCTCTCTCTTTCTCCCTCCCTCCCTGTCTCTCTGTGTATACGTCGGCGGCGACCCCTCTTTGCTACCGCCCAATCGCCGACGGAGGAAGCGATTATGGACTACATCCTGGAACGTACCTACTGCACCGTATGAACGTATGTGCGTATGCTGTATATTCGATGAGATGCTGAATCGACCGTCCTGACATCCTCGTGATGTCCACCCTAGAGAGTAAACCATTGGGGGGTCCGATAGGAAGCTGTTCGATCGTAGGGAAATCGATTGGAAACTTCATTTACTTATTTACCTTTTTTCCTTCTTCTTCTTATTCTTCTTCTTCTTATTCTTCTTCTTCTTATTCTTCTTCTCTTCTATAAATTCTCATCGATCGACGACAAGTGAATGAAAATGAATTTTAATTATCATAAACGATTTTATATAAGCTCGATGAATATGCAATTTAGCATCAGTCAAACCTAAAAGATCCAACCACGTTCGGAAACACAACTAAGACAGCTGTGCAATCAAAACCTATCGACTCGTAATCCTCCCATCTCTGTTCATCGCACCAATAAAAAGGATGAAGAAAAAGAAAGAGAAGAAAAAAAAGGGATAGAACCTCGACATCCATTTAATAGCTTCACGCACGTGCCAAACGATCAACGTCGAATATAGTTTTCCAGTCGACCAAGTGGAAGACCAACTTGTTCATTCCTCATCTCTGTCTATTCACTAATACCATCTTACTTTCAATATCTTTTCTTAAAGATCTAACATCAAACTACAGAGAACTGTTTCCCGGTAATCGAATTAAGGGTATATATCCTATCGTATGATATTCGATCAGATACGAAAAGAGAAACTTGTAGGAAAGAATACTTCAGATATTATTGAAAAAGTAATTTGTATTTGTTCTCATCCATCAGAACTGATATGATGTTACAGCTGGACAAATAAAATATGAAAAAGAAAGGAAAAGGAAAAAAAAACAAGACATAAAGAAGTAAACTTAGCGTACAATTCCAAAAGAGAAAATCAGCACACCGTTTCATGTCTCTAAGTGTCTTTGTTCGCTCGGTAATTTTATTCGGACAATCAATTTCTCATAGAGGAATGAGAGAGACAGATGTACACATTGAATAGAAAGCCGTTTATCGAGCAACTGACACGCAACTATGTTCCTCCACACACACACACACACGAGTTCTCGATTTGATGTATTAGAAAAGAAAGGAATATTGTTTTATATATACAGCTCGATGTATTTATCGATTATCCTGCAAAATAATATCCCTAACTCATTATCATCGTCTATGGCATTAATACGATCATAACTTAGGAGATCCGATGTCGGTGTAAAAGAGAAAGCTAGCGGAGCAAAGGTTCCCTCGACACTTGGAATAGGACAAGATTTTGTAGTTGGACTCCTTCGGAGACACACGCGCCGCATTCCAATCCGCTGTCGTCCCAAATTCCCTCACTTTACCTTTTCTCTCACTCAAACTGATGTTCCTCCAAATAATACAAAATAAGAATAGTATCATATTTTTCATTGTTTTTTTTTCTTCTCTTTTTTTTCTTTTGGTTTGTGTATTTTCAGTCGTTCCAAAAGGACTTCCTTTGGTATCTATCAGCGTGACCGGGTCCACTTAAGAACTTACACACCAAACGTAATCACCGGAATTTACTATCTTTTGGTACGCATATCATGGATTTTAAGAGCCCTTTAAATGCATCATAAATTTCATTCAACTCGCCACTGTGAGATAAGCTGAATGTTCTTCGAAAGAAAAATAAAGAAAGAAAGAAAAAGCGATCGCTTTAGCGCGAGCTTTTCGATTAGGTTCAATTTTGAAAAGTACAACTTTAGATAATTTGTTTTTCATTCATAATTTTTTGGCCCGTACTATAAAACTCGTACGATTTTCTTCGTAGAAAAGTACCCTAGACGTTTTACGAGTAAAAATGGAATTTCATAAAGATCAAGAAATAGAAATATAATTCATTCGATGGCCTATTTCGATATTCAATATTCCTTTAAATTGCATCGAATCGTTGGACGATCGTCTTATATAAAAGTTTCCATCTGAATAAAATTGAGTGAAATGGAATAACCTTTGTGCGAGGCATCGATTCGCGAATAAAATATTTATTCAAATTAAAATTGTTAAGATAGTAGTGGTCAACGGTGTTGTATCGATAGGGCTGAAATTTCTTTAATCGTTGCGGTTCAAAAAGTGATCGTGGTCGACTTCCTCTTCACGGTACGTTGGTCATCGTTTTGGGGTGCGGTATGAGTACGCATTATGTCGCATTTCCGGCAGGAAACAGGCGCAGTCGAAATACCAACGGTTTTCTACCTACTTTCCGAGACACTTCGTAACTAGAATTTGTGTCGTATGAAATAGGTAAGGAGGAGAATCCTAGCAAGAAACTAACCACCAGGATACAACGATTCCTTTTTGTTTCCATCCTGTTTAGTTATAATCTCAGCGGAAATAATCTCTCCCTCCCTCTCTCTCTCTCTCTCTCTCTCTCTCTCTCTCTCTCTCTCTCTCTCTCTCGGTTTCTACAGTAAAGAGAGGAGATACACGCAAACCAGGTTTATACAAGTCATTGAACTTTATTTCTCTTGTGCAAGTTTGTCGCCGGTAATTAAATGAAGACACGAACTTTCTTTTATGCGATAAGCTTTGACGTTAATGAGAGTCAATTAGTCGTTAAACTTATTGTTAGTGTTACTAACGTCATCTTGGTTAACTTAGAAAATTAGGAATTTTACATCATTCGTTTGAAATTTAATCAGGAGAGACATATTTCCTTACGTTACTTTGTCATATGAATTCTTACAAGGGCACGGCAATCGTCTACAAACTCTGATTTTTTGTTCAAACTTTGCACACTTTTACTGATCCACGAGGAATATACATTATTATTAATAACGTAACATATATAAATAATTGTAAATAAAATAACATAAATGAATCTGTAGAACACGAATATCATCCTAAAAAATGTATCTTTGCATGAACGGATACTTTACAGTATCGTTTATTTGTCAGTAGTCGACCCCTTTGCGAATAGGTCGTGATCGAAAATTCGTTCCTAAAATTCAACATTAAGGTGTTCACACGTTTATTCGTTCCTCGAACTATTTCTAGAATACCGTTAGATTAGATTTCATATACAAAAGTTCATCCTAAATAAAGTTTGACAGAATTAGACGAACTCATTGATTTTCGTTTCAAGACAGAAACGGGATCATTCCAAATTGGAACACGATTCGATATTACGAATGTGTAATACTTCATCTTTTTTTATTATTTTGACAGAAAATTCAAATTTCGACAAGGATAACAGACAACCCTCGACGATGATACTATTTTAAGAATATCGACCCGATTCCACGGAAAATCAAATAAACTCGTAACACGACGTGTTTTAGTACGCGAAAACAAAGCATTGCCTAGACGCGTGTCGAAATCTGTTGTCGCGAATAAAAAACGATATTAAAAAAAATGCACACAACCCCTCCGACATGTGTGGGGTGAAAAAAAAGATTATCGAATGAAATATAAATGCGTCGGGACAATATAAAGAGAATTATCATCGGAAATAGGAAATTCCGGCATCAGCAGGTGCAACAATTTTTCGTCGCTTTTCGTCGAGGAGATAAATCACGATTGGGAGATGAACAAAAAAAAATGAAAAATGTAAAATCGTCGATTTCAAACAAATCATGACTCTGACGAATAGATCGATCGATACAATCGCTAATTCAAACCTTTGCGATCCGGTACGTACGTTAGCTCGTTTCTGGTGAGCAAAGATAAAAGGGCTTCGAACTCAAGACAATTATTTCGGGGATTCGAACGATAACGAGCATTGATAGGCTATCGATTTTTTCTTCGAACAAAAAGAACAGAGAGAAAGAGAAAGGGAGAGATAGAAAAATGAAAGAACGAATAGGAGGAGGGTGAAGGGGTGAAGGGATAGGCGTGGGTCGACGGACACGTTCCACAGCTCTAAAACAGCCTCTCATTTCGGGGGCGAATCGGAATCCAACCCTGCGAATGTGTCTGCACGTGCACTCTCTCTCTCTCTTTCTATCCCTATGAAAGAGAGAGGGCTGCACGTTTCGGGCCAGGGTTGGGGATTGAGAGAGGGAGGGCAGTCAATGCGCAGTTTGTATTCCGCTCGGCAGAAAAGACTCGTTCGTTACCGCGTATACCTCCCAACGCACTCGGCAAAACTCCGTCTCACCACCACCAGTGTCACCCTCTCTTTCTCTCATACTGAAGC